CCCAACTCTGGCCCGCCCCCCCGACTAAGCGGTCCCTGAGCCCGCCTGCTCCCATCTCCAGCCCCCTTTCCTCCCCGGGAGCCTAAAAATCGACCCTCTTGCCCCACGCCATCGGCGCGCGGGTCCCACTGGTCTCGGCTCAGCGCTCCCCCTCCCACTTCATCCCGCCTCTTCTGGTCCTCCGCGCGCAGCCTCGGCCCGAGGCTTTGCAGGGGAAGACGGAGAAAGCTGCAAGGCACAGAGTTCCCGGACTTCGCCGTGGCTCAGCTGTCCCCCTCGAGCGGGACGGAACTGAGGTTCCTTGGGGGCACCTGGGGGCCTCAGGAGAGAGTTCCTGCGTGGGCAGACAGGGAAAATGGGCCCCCGTGGGAAAGGGGACGGGAGCCTGCGCGGGTTGTGTATGCGGGGCAGGAGAGATTCCCAGGAGGAGAGCAGAAAGGAGGCCCCCCCCGACTCGCTGAGACACCCCCCACGGAAAAATCCGCTCAGCGGCCCGCGGGTGGGGTGCGCCACGCAGTGAGTAATCGCTCGGGCGGCCGCCGCCCGCCGGCTCCAGGTAATGCCGGCTGCCCCGAGCGAAGCATACTTTGTCTTTTTTTTTTGCACAAGGATCCTTCTCCGAGTTATTATTTTTGGCCACTGCTTGGGTTTCGGGACCCCTCCCGGCCCGGGCGCCTCATCCCCCTCCTCTCCGTCCCCACCCGACTCGGGGCGCCCAAGATAAAAGGGCTCCTGGCCTCCAAGGCGCGGGTGGAGGGGGAGCCTGAAATGAGAGTTCCGGGGCCGCCTCCAACCCCGCGGTTTGAGTCGCAGCCCCGCCCCCAGCCGAGTGCCCTCCGAGGGGAAGGGCTCTAACTCCCTCTTCCAAGGGGTTCCCTTATAGGCCTGGACCCGCCTTTTAGGTCCTTAACCAACCAAGGGGGTAAAAGTGTCTGAGGGGGGCTCAGGAGTTCTCATCCTGTTTGCTCAAGGCTGCCCTCTACCACACCCCTCCAACTTGGATACCCAACTCAGATCTCAGGCTGTCAGAAAAGAGGACTGAAAGATAGAGTCCTCGGTGCGTCCCTCGCCCCCACCCTTCCGGACTTTGGATGGGTTTGTGAGGAAGAGAGCACAGCAGCCCCGGCATGGTGCGATGCTAACTGGGGCAAACCAGGCTTCTTTGCCTTAGTTTCCTCCCTACGCAGTGTACGACTCCTAGCCAGCCTAAGGGTTTCTGTGGGACATTACAATGTAAGAGAAGGCTACACTATCTAAACACTTAGCATAGCACCTGGCACTGTGGGCATGGTCCTTTGGAGCCTCAGTCTGTCACCTGTGAAAAATGGGGCCATAGTCTCTTCTGCTAGGTGGTCCAGAGAGTTAAGTGGAGATGGCAGTTCTTGGCTGAAACGGTGTTTCCAGGATATATGCCACCTCTGCCCTGCAACATTTGACTCCCTCCTGGAGGACTTTAGGCTTCTGGAGCAAAATTTTGATATCCACCCCCACCCCCCAGTCTCTGCTCCTCCCTTTGTCATTCCCCAGTCTCCCCCATCCACCCAGATGCTCCCCCATCCACCCAGATGCTCCCCCATCCACCTAGACCTGGAGGTGCACATGACAACTCTCTCCCTCCCTCACGTCCAATCCATCAGCAAATCCTCTTGGCTCTGATTCCAAAATACATCCCCATTCTGAGATTCTGACCCCTTTTCCCTACCCTATTCCAGTCCAGGGCCCACCATCTACTTCTGCAATGCCGGCCAGCCTCCTCTTGGGCTTCCCTGGTAAACTCTCCTGCCCTCGTCTGCACAGCTGCACAGATGAAAGAAGAAAGAGGATCTTCTCTGCCCTGCCCTCTCCCCTCTCCTTTTCTCCACTCTCTTCATCCTCTTCCTTCCTTTCCCTCACTCCGCTCCAGCTGCTACAGCCCCGTTTCCCCAAACACACTAGGGTTGTTATTATCACAAGATCTGCACATTTGCTGTTCCCTCTGCAGGGATGCAGTTCCCCTAAACCTTCCCCGTTAGCACCTTCTCTTCCATCAGGTCACAGGTCAAGCATTCCCACCCTTTCCAGACACCCTTCTTTCCCTTCCTTTTTAAACTGTCTTTGTAACACAGCTCTCCAATCATCTTTTTCTTGAGACATTTTCTTTAGACTGAACACCCTATGAGCCATTCGGACTCCATGCTGGGGCCAGTGAGGGCCACACAAGAGCTCAATGAACACTTGAAAAATGAAAGGATGGAGAATTCTTAGTCTCTCCAAGTAGCAAGAAAACTCAGTACCAGTGAATCATGCTGTGTGGTGTCCAAGCCAGGCTCATGTCTCTTGACTTGCTATTTGATCCAAGATGGTAGCCACCCCTCTCTGGTCCTTACCTGTAAAAGGGTATGGATCATTTGCCCAGCCCCGCCCTGGAGCATGCCCTCTGCCCTCTGCCCTCTGGGTGACCTTTACTTCATAGACTTTAAGGAAAGAGATTTGTTGTCTAGGTGCACCCTTCTCTGCCCTTGGTTCTCCCAGTGGCTTAACCCCTTCCTCCTCAGTCCCACCACCTATTGTGCAGGAAGGGGAACCAGCATTGATGGAACTTCTGACAAATATTGACTCAAGTCCTTGAACATGGCTGGGAATGTACTGAGGGGACAGACGGAGGGAGGGCACCATACTGGCTGGAGGAGGAGCTCCTCCTTAGTCTTGCACACTTTGCACCTAAGGATTATGTTGGGGGAGACCCTCCAGCCCAGCTCCCTGCATAATTTCAGGGCATTGGGTGGATATAGGGAGGGGGCAGTGGTAACAGGGTCCCACAAGGGGTGAGGAGGGCACAGAGCTGCCCCTCCTATGCTGAGACCCCCATTGTCAGGGCTCCTCCGTATGGGATTAGCTGACTTTTATTCCAGGCCAGTGTTCTGAGGAAGTGAGAATAAAGATGGGCTGGTCTGGACATGGGCTTGGGGCAGCAGAACCCAGGTTCAGGATCTGTATACAGAAGAAGGGGCTTTATCATTTCCATCCTGGAGGTTGAGCCTGGGGAGATGGGTTGCCTGGATCCCAGACTTTGTGCAGTCTGTATATTAAAAATCTGGTCCCCATAGGCATCGGAGGGGGAACTTCAGGAATGCAAAGTTGCCTATGTCCAGGTCAGGGCCAGTGTTCACCGGGTCATGGAGAGTTCCATGCCCCTCTGCACCCTGGAGAACCTTGGATGTCTGGGTTCCAGGAGGCGCCAGCCATGTTGGGGGTAACAACTGTGCCCCTTCCCCCACCACTGTCAGCAAACGCCGGCGCCATGGTGCCTAGCCTGCTCCCCAGCCTGTACCCGGCTTGGGGGTGGGGGTCAGCGGGGTCGCGGCGAGGGCGGCAAGGGACAAAGGGCGCTTGTCCGATGCCCGCCCTAACCTCGGCAGCGGCTTCCCGGACGCCCGGCCCGCCTCTGATTCACGTCCAGGCGGGCCGCAGCGCCCCCCGCCTGCAGCCCCAGCCGGGCCGCCCCGGGGGGTAGGAAGTAGAGGGGGGGCGAGGGGCGGCGCCGAGTCAACTTTCCCTCTTAAGCCCCGAAGGAATGTCGGCGGATTTCCTGAAACCCGACCCCGGCCGCCCGCCGGCCCGCCCTCCCCTCACCTGGACCTGATCCCTCGGGAATGGCAGGAGGGGCGCGGGGGCTCACCTGGGGGGCCGGGGTCAAGTCCTCCTTCCGCTCCCGCTCCAGGCGGCCTCTTGGAGCGGAAAGGGGGGTGGGTGGCAGGCGATCAAACCTTCTCACTCCTTCTCCCTGGCGACCTAGGCCAGTATCCCAAGTCCTCTGGCCTCAGTTTCCCCTTCCGCTTTTAAAAGGGCACGGGTGTCCTTCCTTCCCTGTTGAGCTTTAAGAGGCGCCTGATTCCCCTGACGTCCCTCCTCCCAGTCTTGGCAGGGTTCTGCCCACCTCTTCTTGCTTCTCTTGCTTGTCACCTGGGCCGACGCCCTTTGCCACCCTAAGCCTCAGTTTCCTCGTCTGTAAATTGGACAAGGGCTACCACTACTTCCTTGTAGCGTTGTTACAAGAAAATACTTGGGGACTGTTTTGTTTGGAATGAATGAAGAAAATTAATTGTGGAAGGCTTCAGCGCGCGGAGCTCTGGAATTGACATGTGTGGGCTTGAATCCTGGCTCTGCAGAGGAGTCCTGGGGGACTAAGTTTCCCACCTGTGAAATGGGGGACAGTATTGGTCATAACCAACGGCTGTTTCCCAAAGCGCAGGTCTGGCGCGCGGTGAGTTAGACGCGGGGTTCTTTGGCTCTCGCGCAAACCACAGGCTGGAGGCCCTCGCTGCAGGGTCGCGGCGGCCTAGCCCGGGAGGGGCGGGGCGGGGCGGGGGAGGGGCCGCGCGAGGATCCAGATGTTCAGGGTCCGCCAGGCACAGCCGCGCCTTGATTAAGCCACGTGGGGGCTGGCCGAGGCCGCGGAGATGAAAGCGCGGCGGCCTGCCGAAGCGCGCGGCCGTGCCGGGGAGGGGCGCGCTAGCTCTCCCTCCCTCGGTCCCCCTCGTCTTTGGCCGGAACCTGCGGCGCCCTCTGACCGGCGGACCCCGAGCGGCTGCCGCCTTGTCTGCGGGGGCGGAGCACGGAGCATGGATGGAAGAAGTGCAGGCGACAGGCACCTGCGCGGGGAACCCCAGGGAGTGGGGGATCATTTTTGCAGAGGACACAGGCTTAGAAGGAGCGCCGCCACTCCCGTGCCTGCCGGAGAGGAAACTAGGGGACCTCCTAACCCAAGATTCATGGGGCTACACTGTCACCCTGGAGTGAAGCAGTTATGGAAGCCAGAAGTGCCCCTGTTTGCCCCCAAGTTTTCCCACAGGATTTAGAAATTTTAGCAGTACTCCATCGCCCCATCAGCACCTCTGTGTCCCTCCCACTCAGCCTCAGGCTGAGGGACCCCCAGTCTGGGGAGCAGGGTCCAGATACCCCAGGTCTGTGGATCAGGGCTTGGTCAGAGTGAGGAGAGGGTCGGGGAACTCTGGAGGGTCCCAGAGGGCTTCCTAAAGGAGGAAAACTGCCCTCAAGTTACCATCCTTCTGATTTGGATATCAAAGGAGATGATGCCACAGACCTTCTCAAGGCCTTCTCTAATCAGCCCTGCGACCCTCACGACCCTCCATCTCCACTCTCTGGCTGGGCTCCAGCCTGCCCACCACCCTCCTACCTTTTCCAACAAGCTCGTCCCCTCCTAAGGCCCTTGCTGTTTCCTCTGCCTCGATTGCCCTCCTCGCGGGGCCAGCTCGAACGTCGCCTCTAGGAGGCCTTCCCTGATCCCCCCTGAAATAGATCTCTCCTCCATTCTACCACTCTGCTTTTGGCCCCTAGAGATGACTGAGATTCCCTCCTCCATGGATACGAAGGAGGTGTCATGGCATTCCCGAGATGGGACAGATGGCAGGAGCCACAATCCACCTGCCTCGCCCCGCCTGCACCACGACGGTGCGGCAGCGCCACTCCCCCGCCCGTTCTCCGCATCCCCACCCCCACTTCCCAGGCTGCCTCGCTCGGGTGACGTCAACGACCTGGTCCCCGCCGCCGCCGCCGCATCCTCCGCGCCTGCCAGGAGCCGGAGTCCCTCGCGCCCCCTCGCGCCTGGCCTGGCCATGGCTTCTGTCACGCTGATGCCTCTCTTGCTGCTGCTGCTGCTGCTGCTGCTGCAGCCTCCGCCCGCCACCCCCGCGCCGCCTGCCCGCGACCCCTTCGCCCCGCAGCTTGGGGACACGCAGAGCTGCCAGCTGCGGTGCCGAGACCGCTACCCTAGACCGCAGCCCCCTCAGGTGAAGCGTATGCAGCGCCAGCTAGAGGACCCGAGATCTCTCCGATGGGGGAGGGGTTGAGGATGCAATTTCCTCCATTGAGAGTAGAGACAGGGATTCCTCGGAGAGAAAAGGGGTCAGGGAAGGAGGATTCTCCAGTGGGGGTGGGACCCTTTGGTGGGGGAAGGGCTGGAGTTCCTTTGACAGGAGCAAGGGCAGGGGACGGGGTCCCCCGATGGGGATGAGCATGTTCCTTCTGCGGGGGAGGGGCTGTGGGGTCCCTCCGATGAGGATTTGAAGATGAGGGTCCTTCCGATGAATGCGGGGCTCGGGGGAGTTCCTACAAGCCTGGGGCAGGGAGGGGACTGAGGCTCCTGATGCCACCTCATGGGCTCTGGCTTCACTCTGCTGCGCAAGGACCTTTGGGGAGCCCAACCCCCACCTCCCTCAGGCCTGACAGTCCCCTTCTCCTCCCCCTCCACCCAAGCACCTTCCACCCCTCCTTCCTAGCCCCCTCAGAGCTACTAGCCCCCACTGATAGCCTTACTGCCCCCCACCCAAGTCAGATCCCAATCTTCTTAGGCCTGAATGATGACAAAAACTCCTCCTCTGAGCCCCTCCTCCTTCTTCAGGCCTGAGAACCCCTCTCAACCTCCCCCTTCTTCCCTGGAGTCTTGCGGGGGGGGGTACTTCCCTTCATCTTCCTCAGTTTTCCAACCATTACCCGAACCCAGTGACCTCCAGTGTTTATCTGCGGTATAAAGCCCCCCCTCCTCAGAGCTAAGAGCTCCTACTAATATTTTTAGCCTCCTCACCAACCTCGTCCCAACCTCCCTAGACCTGGGGGGAAACCAAATCTTGAACCTCCTCCCCTGAGGGCTTCCCATGCTGAATTCCTCCTGCTCCTCCCCTGGCCTGAACCCTACACCTCTGCTTCCAGGAGGAGCTGGAGAATTACCCCACTGAGTCTCTGAATGCGCATGACAGGGCTGTCCTGATCAGCGCTTGCGAGCGAGGCTGCCGCCTCTTCTCCATCTGCCGATTTGTGGCCAGGAGCTCCAAGCCCAATGCCACCCAGGCTGAGTGTGAAGCAGGTGAGGGCTGGCTGGGTGGGCCAGGGTGGGGAGAGGTGGCCTGGGAAGGGCTGTCCCCGAGTCACTCCCTCCTGTCCCCTGCAGCCTGTGTGGAGGCCTATGTGAAGGCGACTGAGCAGCAGGCCTGCAGCGAGGGCTGCTGGAGCCAGAACCCAGAGCCAGAGCCTGAGCTGGAGTCGGAGCAGAAGGTGGGCGCCTTCCCACCTGTGGCCCCAGGCCCATCTCCCCCTCTACCTGCCCCAATCTGCACTCATATCCAGAGTCTCCCAGGCTCTCCATTCCATTCCAAGCTTACTGGGTGTCCTTGATTAAGCCATATCACATCTCAAGCCTCAACTGTATCTCTGTGACTGGGAAATACTCCCTCTGCACCACCCCCCATCTCCCCCAGCACAGCCACCCTTTACACTATGTATCAAGCATGTAGCCTGGTCCAGCCTGCCCCAAATTTCTCATGCCACCCTGAGGCACCTGAGACCGTGCCACCCCTGTTTCATGCCCACACAGCTACTGCCCAAGGTCACACAGTTAGGGTTGTGCAGAAGTGGGATTTAAAATCAATGCCACCAGGGCTTGTGGCCGCCCTTCATCTCACTCATCTTCAGTGCCACAAGAGCTGACCTCCATGCCAGTTACTGGCCTAAGCACATTCCTTGTGAGGAACAGGTTGGGGGCCAATGTTGTGAGGGGGCCGGGGGCTCAGAATGGAGGTTCAGGGAGGAGCAGCCTCCCAAGCACACACATAACACCCCTCTCCTCACCCCAGGGAAAAAGAACAATTGCTCACTTATAATAATCCATGAGTGAGTCTAGACAACGCTGCATTGGGGAAACTGAGGCACAGAAAATCATTCATCATCATCATTACAGCCAGAAACCTATACACTGGGCTTCCCTAGAAAGCCCTTTCCTCTCTTCACTCATTTTCCTCCATCTCCTCTAGGCCTTCACTGTTCATCAAAGCTCAGTGCACTATCATTCCTGCCTGCTCAAAGTTCTCTCCTGAAACTATCAAAATAAGAATAATGATGATGACTACATTTTTAATAATAGCAGCAACTGCAAATTAGGCACCTGTGCCATTGTCTAATTGAAATCTCATGCAACCCTATGAGGGAAGAGAATCATCCCAATCTTAGGGCTCAGAGAGGGCGATCCACTTTCCCAAAGGTGCACAGCCCTGTGTGCATTGTATGAAGCCCTGTTGCCCCAAACCACTTAGTGAATTTTGATCACAGTGAATTCTCCCACCTCCCCTCCCACTGGTTAACGCCCTACATTGGTGACATTTCTGTGCCTTGGGCCTCCCCTTGGCAGAGAAAGGTCCTGGAAGCTCCGAGTGGGGCCCTCTCGCTCCTGGACTTGTTTTCCACCCTCTGCAATGACCTTGTCAACTCGGCCCAGGGCTTCGTCTCCTCCACTTGGACATACTACCTGCAGACTGACAATGGGAAGGTGGTGGTGTTCCAGGTGAGGGATCTGGCAGAGGCCACACCAGAGTACTGGTTGGGTGGTCAGGGTAAAAAGGTGGGATGCATTGGTTCTTGACTCATGGGATGCAAAGTCCACAGGTAGGCAAGTTTCAGGCACAGCTGGATCTAGGGGTAGAGTGTCTCACTCCACCCCTTGACTCTGCTGTCCTTTGTGGTAGCCTCATTCCCAGGCAAGTGCTTCCATCCTCACAGCAGGGTGGATGCCTGAGGCTCTAGACTACAACCTGTCTGAGGTATTAACTAAACTGAGATGTACTCCTATTGGCCCTGGCTGGGTCATGTGATGGCCTCTCAGCCAATCCCTGTAATTCTGTTGGCTTGCCCTTAATCAGGTTCCTACTTCAGGAGCTGGAGGATGGGGTCAAGACAAATCCAGGGTCCACAATAGCAGGCAACAGCTCCCCTGACATCACAGCCTACAGCCCCACAGAGGGTATCCTCTTTATCCCCAGTGGAACTAGGTGCCAGCTGGCCATGGGACAATATAGTCCACACAGGGCACAGAGAGATGTCTCCTAGGGCTAAGATGGTGCCTTTCTAAAGGGCTTCTCTGTGCTGTCTTGTTCCTGGCCCAGACCCAGCCTGTGGTAGAGAGCCTGGGGCATGAGGGGGCCCATCTGCAGCGAGTGGAGGTGACCTGGCGGGGATCCCACCCTGAGGCCTTGGAGGTGCATGTTGGTAAGGTCCAAGCCTAGACCAGTGTTCCTTCCACAGGTGGCTCCACTGCTGCAAGGGCTCTTCCTGGCAAATGAACTCTCAAGGATTGGGATTTCCATCTCTAAACTCCTGGGGTTCCATGGTCCATGTCCCAGGGTTCCATGGTCCATCTCTCTGGGTTCCATGATCCATCTCCCTGGGTTCCATAGTTCATCTCTCAGGATTCTTTGGTCCATCTCCCAGGGGTCCATGGTACATCTGTCAGGGTTCTGATCTATTCCAGAACTCCATGCCCCATTGCCCCAGGGCTTGGCCATTTTCTCCTCTCCATGGCTGCTTTCATCTCTTGGCAAAGGCCTGGAGGCTGCTGAGAGGTGACCTATTCTCTCAGACCCTGTAGGCCCTTTGGACAAGGTCAGAAAGGCCAAAATTCGAGTCAAGACCAGCAGCAAGGCCAAGGTGGAGTCTGATGAGCTGCAGGACAACGACTTCCTCAGTTGCATGTCCCGGTGGGTGGCAGAACCCTGGGGGTGGGGGTGGGGTGGGGCCAGAGAGGAGGGTCTCTCTCACCCCACTAGGGCCACTGAACGTGCCTGCTGGGTGGGGCAGGCGCTCGGGGCTTCCTCGCTGGATCCTGGCCTGCTGTCTCTTCCTCTCTGTGCTGGTGATGCTGTGGCTGAGCTGCTCTACTCTGGTGACCGCACCCGGCCAGCACCTCAAGTTTCAGGTGGGCGGGGCCATTGGGCAGGGCCAAGTGGAGGGATGGCAGGAGAGCAGCTCCATAGTCTGGGTAGGGCCACCCCCTTCCAAGGAGGCAGGGACCCCTGACTTGCTGAGTGACATTAGGCAAGTTTCTTTACTCCTTTACGAAAAGGTGGAAACAACACCCACCCTTAGTAGAGAGGACCTGAGATCGGGGCGGGATCCCTAGCTCGGGGACTCATAGACCACCCTCCCTCTCTTCCTCCTCCTGCAGCCCCTGACTCTGGAGCAGCACAAGGGCTTTATGGTAGAGCCAGACTGGCCCCTGTACCCTCCCCCATCGCACGCCTTTGGGGATAGCCCCCCACCCTACAAGCTGAAGCTGGACCTGACCAAGCTGTAGGACTGGGGCTCCATTGCCAAGGACTGGGGCTTCTCTGGCCTCACTTGCCCTTTGCCTAGGAGTCCAGGCCAGGGCAGAACCATCCTTAGGCTCCTCCTTCCCTAAATTCTTCTCTCCCCAGCCCTGCCCCCACTCCCTGGATCCTGGGGTTTCCATGGCCCTGCTGAGGGTGCAGGGTCTGGCCTTAGTTCTCTCTGCCCCCTTCCCCCAGAGCATTACTTTTGTCTTCTATCGTTACTTTTGTCTTCTATTGTATAGCTTCTTGAGAATTGGAACCCCTTCTGTGCTGCCTATCTCCTTCCTCCTCTCTCCCCTCTCTGGGGGTCTGAGGCCGCAGGGGAGCCGCCTTGTGCTAGGGCTTCCCCTTTTCTTCCCGCCCCACCTGTGGAGATCTAGCCCCATGAGAGGACAGGACTAGAGGATGCTCGGAGGCAGGAGGCGGTGGGTAGCTTCATGCTGGCGGTGTGGATGAGCCTGGAGTTGCAGCACGGGGGTTGGGAGGAATAAACCCTGTATATGAAAAAAAGTCTGGGACTGAGCCTGCTTCTGTTGGTCTTTTTGTTTGCCCCTTGGGGAGTGGCCTGAGCATGACCATGACCCCTGCCCACCAGGCCCTTTCTGAGATGGGGGAAGGCCCCGGGAACTCCTTGAGGCTTGAGTGGTGCAAAACAGGTGCCATCTGGAAGGACAGTCTCTGCTACCCAGCCCACATCACTATCCTAACTGGGGGAGTCTCTGGAGAAGTGACTTGTGCCACCTGCCTGGCCTGTGTGGGTCAGTGCCCTTTCCTGGGCCCACATGTCCCTCCTGTGAAATGGACAGGTCACTTCTTGAAAAGGACATTTGTTAATTTTGTCACCACTTGGCTTCCATCCTCCTTTCTTTTGGGAATGGAGCTCTGCCCCGTTGCAGGCTGGAGGCAACCTCAGGCCCCTTCCCACAAGTTCTCTCCCCTTCCCTACCCAAGGGGCCCAGACTTGGCATTCTTTCCCTGCACTTTGCATTCAAAAGGAGTCTTGCAAGACAGAAGCAGCCCAGGCCTGACCCCTGATGAGGCCACAGCCATGGCACTCCATCCTTCCTGTCCATTCTGCAGACTCCCCAAGATCCTTCCGATAAATCTTTTAGTTAAGTCAGCTGGAGTCATTTCTGTTGCTGGCAACCAGAGATGCCTGGCTGGTGGGGGCCACATCTGGAAGAGTTTTGGATGTGGCCCATGATGGCCAGTGGGACAGAGGTTTCCTGGGGCTGATGGAGGCTTGTGGGTGATGGATGGGTGTTTGGGGGAAGGTGAGTTTGAGAGCTGAGTGGGACTAGTTGTCTGCCCCTCCACCCTTCACCCACCTTATATCCCTGGAGGTTGATTCACCTGGGCCCTCAGCCTTCTGCGAGAGTCAGCCGCAGGGGGCCACCAGCAGGAGGTGGAAGGAAGAAGTCGAGGGGCTTCTCTCCCCATTTCCCTCCCTACATCCCCCAACCCAAGGCCATAGCTCCACCAAGTGAGCCTTCAGCTCCCTGCTGTTGCCCATCCTACATGCTTTACCACCCCATGTCAGTTACCCAATTCTGCTACACCTTTGCGAGTAGCCCCTTTATTACCACTCTCCTGAATCATCCATTCTGAGTGCCTCCTGCTCCCTACCAGGACCCTGCCTGATATGAACATCAGGACTCAACATAAAGGCAATTTAGACTCCCAGGGGTTTCTTCTGGGCCCAGCGTGGGGTTTTGGAGTAGTCCCTAGGAACATTGTCAGGGAATAAGAGCTGGGCAGAGGCGAGAATCAACGGCAGGCCAGTGCTGCCCAGTAGAACTTTCCATGACGACGGAAACATTCTATATGTGCCACTCCCAGCTGCATGGTTTTACAGAGCCCTTGCAAAGTGGCCAGTGTGACTTAAGGACTGTGTTTCTCATTTTCTTTAGCTTGAGTTGTTGTACATTTAAGGTTTTTCCTCTACTTTTTTTGTGGTGGTAAAAAATATGCATCACATAAAATTTGCCGTTTTTGCCAACAATTCAGTGGTATTAGGTACATCCACAATGGTGTGCAATGATCACTACTGTTAATTTAAATGGTGACCATAATTCCTCAGCCTAGCTCAAAGGGGACCTTGGCTGTCATTTCCCTTGCATACCCGCCCTGCCCCAGTCTCTCCATTGCAGTGGTTCTAGACACATGGGTGGCGTCTTGATTCTTCTCTGTCCTCACTCTACCTTATCCCATCAGCAGGACCTGTCCTCTTAGCCTCCAGACCACAAGCTTCTCTGTATCTCCATGGCAACAACCAAGATCCAAGCTACCACTAATTCTCGCCCAACGAATGTGCTCGTCTCCTCTTGGGGATCCCTGTTTTCCCTCCAGCCACCTTCCAGCTTCATGCAGCAACTGGGGAGCTATTGGTATAAAGCAAATCTGATCCTAGACATTACCCACTACTGAGGTTTAGTGCTGCCATGAGGAGCCCAAATATCCACAGGAACCAACAAGGCCCCCAGGATTTGGTCTAATTAACATTTCCAGAGGGGAGGATATAGCTCAGTGGTAGAGTGCATGCTTAGCATGCACGAGGTCCTGGGTTTAATCCTTAGAACCCCCAAATACATACATACATACGTACATACCGAATTACCTCTCCTCCCAAATAATAAAGTACAACTATTAACATCTCCAGATACTTCTATGGAGGCTTTGCCCCTTGCCCACTATGCTCCAGCCACATGGAATCTTTCTGGATTCCTCAAGCCCACCTTGTTTCTTCTAGCCCCAGGGCCTTTGCACGTGCATTTCCCTTAGCCAGGAACTCCCTCGAAGCCCTGCTCTATCCAAGTTCTCAACAAAAAGGGCTCTTCCTCAGCCAAAGACATCCCTGCCACCCTGGACTGGGCCAGCATCCCCTGTCATGCCAATGTTCAGCTCCCTGTTCGTCTTCCCTGTGCTTACCACATTTACAGTTTTTTTTTTAAAAAACAACAATCATTTTATTTGCTCACCATTCTGTGGGTACATGATTTTTTCATTCACTTGTCCAGTACCTGTACTAATATAGCTCAAACACCTGGTGCTGGCCAGAACACTCAGTGCAATTGTAGTTGATGAATAATTATTTGTTTCAATGTTGGCTTCCTTTAACATAATTTTATAAGCTCCATGAGGGCAGCTCCCAAAGGTCTCATGTGACCTGGCATGGAGGTTATCAGTAATTATTTTTACCTGGCTGTCTCCCTGCTTCTCTGTCAGACCTCAGAAGCAGCTTCACTTGGTCAAGTCCATTCCCTACATGGGATCTGACCTTGTCCCTCACCAGCAGGCTCCCTGTTGCCCACAGATACCACCTAATTTCCTCTGCTTTCCGTTTAAGGGCTTTTAATTCCCCTTGCTAAGCTGGCAGCCACCTCTCTTGTTATGTCCCTCCCACCTTTTGGTCTGAAGACATAGTGGGCTTCATCCTCACTGTTTTCTGCAGTCACATCAATGGCCCAACCTTCAGATCTTTGTTATAGCTGTTCTTTCTGCTCAGAATGCCATCACAGACCTGGTAGGACTCTACCTGGCACTCATCACTCTCTTCTTTCTTTCTAATAGAATTCTGGTTTGGTTTGATCAAACCTATGTGGCTCAGGGGAAGTTGAGCAGCATAACTCAAGCCTCCTGGGGTATCGGTGGGATTTACTGGGAGAGAGACATCCCCTGGGATTGCTGAGCTGTGAGGATGTGAGTCTGAAGCTGCCAAGGGCTGTTTGTCACTATGACAACAGAGTCTGCTGGAGGATGGAGAGAGAGAATGTCTTCATGCCATTGCTGGAAGTCCTGGATCAAGCTGTGCCTGAAGCCATAATGTCCCTTGATTTTTAGCTTAAGCCAATTTGTGTTGGGCTCCTTGGAACTTGTGACTGATTCCTCTCTATTTGTCTTCTCTCCCCTCTCTCAAGACTGAGCTGCAAGGGCAGAGAGTTTGCTTCTTTGCTGCTGTGTGTCTACTGTATTAATTCTTGAAGCCCTGGTGACCAGCCCAGGGCTGGGCCCAGAGTGGACATCTCATAGATGAAAAATGAATAATGCCAGATGGTGCGGGTAGAAACCATGAGCACTACACTATTGGTGTATGGAGATGAGAGAGGAGTTCCCTCCAACCAGGTGGTGAGTGATGTCTGCCTGGAAGAGGCGGCAGCTGACTTGGACTTTGAAGGATGGGTAGAATCCATGAAGAAGGGAGAGTGTTCCAGGTTCATGGATGTGTGTGTTGGAGGGATGTGTGTGCATTCAGAGAAAAATAATGCCTGTTCACATCAACTGCCCTTCTAAAGGCTTCATGGGGGAGGGGTCCCAAGTGCCAAGTGAAGACTATTCTGGAGTCTCAGGAGAGAGGGGGACATTTGCCTCCATCCAGGGCTCCTCCCAGGGCCAGGGACCTGCAGAGCGGACCCACAGATGAGTCCTGACTTGCTGCAGCTCTCTGAGCCTCAGTTTCCTCATCTGCCCCCAGATCTATGAGCCATCTGGGAACCGCCCTCTGTCGTCTTCCCTCCACCTTCCTCTTGCACCCCATTGTAGACCTGGTGAAGGGTGGGTGGGTAGCTGGTGTCATGGCAACAGGCAGGAGCTCCCACATGTCCGGACAGCGAGGGTTGCCATGGCAACTGGCGGTCCTGGTTCCCTGGCAACAAGCCTGAGTTCTGAGACTAGGGGTGGGAAGGGAAGGAGGGAGGTGTCTCTGGAGACTCTCTGTAAATGCTTGGAGGGCAGGATGGAGACTCATAGCTTTCCCTCCTGTGGGGGGATGTTTAGGCCAGATCCCAGCTGGGGGTTGCTCAGGTCCCTGCTCAGGGCCAGCTGGGCCCAGCAGGGAAGCTGAAGCCTCTAGGGATCCTGGGTCACATGACACTGCCCACCACACTCTTCACACCCAGCCTACCAGGCTCCATGTGGCTTCTGGCATGCTCCCTCCTCAGGATTCCCATACAGTCTGTTCCCTCTGGTTAGAAGTCTCTGCTCTTTTCCTGGCCAGCTCTTCAACTTGAATGTCCTTCCTTGACCTCCTGGCTCAGCCCAGACCCCTTAAATCACTACACCCCAACTGAAGCCTTTATCATGTTGACAATTAAGTTATTGCTTCTTTGCTTGTGTGATGATTGGTTTAATAAATGTTCCCTCTGCCAGATGCGACACTGTAGCAGTCTCGGTCACAGCTGTGTCCCACACACTGAGGAGGCTGTTCTCAATACATCTTTGTCAACACTCTCTCTGTTAACTCCAAGCCTTGCCCACATTCCCCCAGCCAGTGTGGTCTTGTCCCTGACCCTCAGGCTCTTTCTGGCACCTAGCTTGGGCCATACATATTATCCACCTAAAATGTTCAGGAACATTCTGGGCCCTTCCACAATGTTCTGGAATGTCCCAGAACACCCTAGAACATTCTGTCTCCTGCCTTTATTAAAGCTGAGACATCATCTCCTCAAAGAGGCTCTCTCTAACCTCCTGGCTAAAGCACTCCTTCCCTTTTTGGTGTCATCCCCTGGCCTTT